GCCCAACAGGGACACCTGCCCTGTGATGCTCTCTTGGGACAAGCATCAGGAGTTGCTACTCTGGGGGATGCCCCTTTTCTGGGCACAGATTATGGCCCCCACAGACACACACTGACCTCCAGGACATGGAGCAGTGAGAGGCCATGAGGCTGGGCGAGGTGTTGAGCAGGAATTGCCCCAGGGTCACGCAGCCAAATGATCTGCTCTCATAACCTACTCGCTGTATGTTGGCACATGATGGCAGCACTTCCTGTCGCCCCTGGCTCCTGAACGTCACAGTTCTCCTCTCCCCAGGGGGAGAATGAGCCCAGGGCAGCACCAGGGCTATCTTTCCGGCATGTTCTGTGGTTCCTGCTGTACCACACCTGGCCCTGCTGTGTCTGCCTCTCTGGGGGCTTGACGATCTGGCAGGCACCCAGTCCTTGGCACATATGCAAACAGCCCTGCACATGTCCCCACTCCTGGCAGAGGCCGGGCACAGCAGGTATCAAGAAGACACATGTGCAGCAGGTGCCAGCCTTGGCACTCAGCCCTGCCCTGGAACCAGGTGCTTTGCTGCATGAAGACCCCAGACAGAGGTCTACAGCAGCATACGCTGTCCTAGCTGGGCACACTGCTGCCCTCATGCCTGGTGGGAACACAGGAGCCACGGCTCACCCACAAGGCAGGGATTGCAGCCACACTGCCTGCTGTCTTGGGATGATGGGGAAAGTCACCACCCAAAGCAGAGGTCCTCTGGGCCAGAAATCTACAGAACAAAAGAGCTGCTTCTGGCCTGCAGGGGCAGCCAAGTAAGGGCACCTCCTGACACCTCCTTGCTCAGGGGCTCCCCCAGGAGGCCCCAGAAAGGCACAGCACAAGGTGCCCCACCACCACACAGCCAAACAGTGGGGACTGCCAGGCCACATACCCGTCCCCACACCGGCACAGCCAAACGGTGTTAAAAATAGCAGCAGCTAGGCCCTGCGAGGCTTCCTCTAGAGATGTTCATCCTAGTGACCTAAAAAGGACTAACACCCTGCAGGCCAAGCCCACGGGAGCTGGCAGCCAGGGCTGGAGCCCGCAAGGATCGGGCCACTGGGAACACCCAGAGCTGCCAGAACCCTCCAGGGCTGGCAGGACCTCGGGCACATGGTCACAGGGGCCAGGCCGTCTGCGCACCAGTGCCCCGTCCCCTTCCCCCCCCCCCCCCAGTGCAGCCTCTGCAGAGCTCCTGGCAGTGCCACAGCCACTTGTGAGCGAGAGGCCAGGCAACCATGTTGTTCCGTGCAGCTTTGAGGGCATCTGCCCAGCTGCTGGCCAGCAACCACCCGAGCCCACAGCTAGCAAGTCAGGTCTGAAGCACAGTGGACAGCCAGCAGAATGGCAGTCATCCACAAGAAAATGTGGGATGTACCTCCTCACCCCAGGGTGGCACGACCGAGGCCCACCACCTCCCCACCCAATCACGGGGCCAGGGGGGCCTCTGGTCTGCTGACTGACTTGCAATTCTTGACTGCTGACCAACTCACTGCCCACCTGCCTGGCCCTCCCGTCTGCCAACTGACCACCTGCCTGGCTGGTCCTCCCTCAGCCAGCCTTGCTGCAGCACAAGGGTTATAATTGGGAATATAACCATTGATGCACCTGGGCCACCGCATCTTTGGGTCCCTCTTGGAGGCTTCCACTGAGTGGGGCTGGTCAGGCTGCCTGAGAAGCCCCTTCTGATGCCGAGTGCTCACCCATGACCCAGAGCCTGCCCAGCAGCTGTCTTCCCAGATGGCAGCTTCTCCAACATGCACACTGCCAAGGGCTGCCACAGCAAATGGAAGCTGGCAGTTCCTGTCCCTCTCACACAGACCCATGTGCCCTGCCCCACAGCCACTGGGGACTCCCAACTCTGACTGCTGTCCTCCTCCTCACACATTCACTCAGCCCACCACTATGACAAGGCTGGGCCTCTTGCTGGGCAGAGAGTGTGGTGGGGCACTAGTCAGGACCCCTGTGGTACAGGGTGCTGGACCTGCCCCATCCACAGGGACTCCTCACAGGTTGGGCCTGGAGGTGGCAGGCACTCCCTGCCTCCAGGTCTACCAGGAGAGCACCAGGGATCAATGGCCGTGCGCCCTCACAGGCCTCAGTCCACAGACACTGGCTTCTCCTGGTTCTGGAAGACACCTGGCTGTGGTGTGCCTGCTCTAAGCCAGTCCTCTTGGCACAGCCTCTTCCACCAAGGGCCCTCAGCTCAGCCAATCACACCGAGAGCCTTCCTTGAGTGCTCGTGGGGGAGACCCACTCACCCCATGCTGCTCTTGTCCCTCGCCAAGCCGACACCACCACCAGGCAGACCCCAGCAACAGGAGGCCCGTGAGTAGCTGAGCACGAGCAGTCAGCATCTCACCTGGGGAGTGGGCCAGCAGTCATTCCCTCTATCCCTCTGCTTTCCTAGAAATGCATTTATCTCTTTTTAAAAGGGTTTTTTTTTTTTTTTTGGAAAGGCAGATTTACAGAGATCCTCCATCTGCTCATTTACTATCCAACTAGATGCAATGGCCGGAGCTGAGCCAATCTGAAGCCAGAAGCCAGGAGCTTCTTTCGGGTCTCCCACGTGGGTGCAAAGTCCCAAGGATTTGGGCCGTCCTCTACTGCTCTCCCAGGCCACAAGCAGGGAGCTGGATGGGAAGTAGAGCTGCCAGGACATGAACTGATGCCCCCTACAGAATCCCAGAGCTTGCAAGGTGAGGATTTTAGCCACTGAGCCATCACACTGAGCAGTCACACCTGGCCAGTAACTTTATCTTAAAAAGGAAACAATGCAGGATGGGACAGGGGGTAGCAAACCAATGTTCCATCTGCAGTGCCAGCATCCCATATGGATGCCGGCTCATGTCCCGTCTGCTCCACTTCCCATCCAGATCCTGCTTACACCCTGGGAAAGTAGAGGATGGGTTGAATCTTTGGGCCCCTGCCAAGGGGATCCGGAAGAGGCTCCTCACTCCTGGCTTTGGATTGGCTCCGTTCCAAATGTAGCAGCCACTTGGGGAGTGAGCCAGCAGACACAGACTTTTCCCTCTGTCTCTCCTTCTCTCTGTAAATCTGCCTTTCCGATAAAAATAAAACACACTGAAAAAAACAATCAACACAGGAGGAAAGGACACACCTGCTGCCTGCTATAAGGTTATTTAACAACTGCAGGGAGTGGTCGTTGAGTGACAACGCAGGCCATGGGGACAAGTGACCAGGCATGGTGGCCTTCACACGGACAGCACATGCATTCCAGACGGGAGCACTGAGTTGAGTCCTCCGCTCTGCTTCCCCTCTTGCTCCTGGCACCCACATCGGGGACTCAGGTGTGGCTTTGGGCTGCTGGCTTCAGCCTGCACAGCCACTGGGCCAGTGAGCCAACGGATCCCAGCTCTCTGGCACTGTCCCTTCCTCTCTGCTGGAGATTCATGTTTCGGATGAATAACACTGATCTTGCAGCCAGCTCTCTCCTGCGAATGGCCCCAACAGGCCCTGCAAAGAGTCCAGCTGGCAGATGAAGCCGTCTGCAAGTGGCTGCCACTCCATGGAGACACAGGAGCAGCACATATGGCTGGGACTGGGCTCAGGAGCAGGGATGACTGGCACCCATGTGATCATGGCTGAGGCATGTCTTGCTGAACGCCTAACAGGCCAAACCCTGTCTGGGGTGTGGCTGGGCAGGAGAGGCAGAGAGGCGCCACCCGGGGACAGGCACTCAAGGGCTCTGAGGTGGACAAACCGCAGCATCTCACTCGGCATAGACCAGGAAACCCCGGGACAGCACACCTGCCGCCCCAGTCCCTGCTCCTCAGAGTAAGCCCTAGACCAGGGACACCCCTGACCTTGGCCAAAGCACAGAACTAAGGGTAACAGGGTCTGTCCCTCGATCAGGGAACCTTGGGCTGGCCTGGAGTCCCACTGGCAGAGCTCGCCATGCCGGCCTCCTACCCAGCTCTGCCCAGACCCAGGGACTGGCTGCTGGGCTAACCCCTCCCCTCCGTAGCACAGGGTCAGGACTGACGTCAGAGGACACAGTGACAGAGGAAGGATGACAGGAGATCCTTGAGACTGTTTCCCAACGTTGGGGGCAGGGCTGTGGGGCCGACTCAGGCATGGGCATCTGGTAGGGTCTCACAGGCCAGAGGAAGGGATGTGCAGAATGTCACATGGGCCAGCATGTGCCAAGGTTGTGGAGATGGCTGACTGCAGGGAGAAGACGCCACAAGCCTGTCAAGGTCACCTGGAGGAGCCAGCTCAGTAGAGACTCAGTCAGGAACAGTAGCAGATGAAGGAGGCCAGGAGGGGCTGCCCAGAGTCACTGCTGGGTCACAGGCCTCCCCCGCTGCACCAGGCACACAATCCAGCCACATGTGTGGGCCGAGTGGGGGAGGATTGGCTTCGAGGCCCAGGGACACAGAAGCCATGCTGCCCCTGGGACCCAACCAGCAGGAAACAAAGGCCCAGGCTCAAGTCTGGAGCAGTGCCAAGGGAGACGCACAGGCAGCTGCAGAGAGGGGGCAAACACAAAGGCACAGGATGTGTGACCACCTCAGCGCCCAGGGCAACCCTGCCTGGGAAGCCCAGCCCCTCTTTCCCACTGGGTCCCCAGCTGGTGCTGCCTCAAGGCCAGGATGTTGCAAAGCTGTCCATGTACTGCCAGCCTCCAGTGGCCCTGTCAGTTGACACAGGGCAGGGCAGGGCCTCAGGTGGACCCGCCCGCAGCAGCCTCTGGGCAATGTGAGTGCTCCCTTGTCTGCGCCTCTGTCTTCTCTGTTAAACCACACATGATGAAGAATTAACGTAGAGAAAGCATTCAATCGGAAGCTGGGCAAAGGGTTACAGAAAGTTTCAGGAGAGACGGAGAAAGCTCTCATCTGCTGGCTCACCCCCAGAAGGCCCCCAACTAGATGGGCCACATGGGCACAGGCACCCAAGTCCGTGGCCATCACTGATGCCTCCCCTGTGCAGTCACAGGAGCAGTGATCTGCAGCCAGGTCTCACACCAGGCACACAGAATAGGGTGTCCCAACCGAGTCTTATCTGCTGTGCCCACAGGCTGAGGGAGCGGATAGCTGGCCTTGTAAACGCTCCCCACAGGCTGAAGGAACAGACAGTGGGCTGTGTACATGCTCCCCACAGGCCGGGGACTGAGCCGTGTAGACGTTCCTCACGGGCCGAGAGAGTGGACAGTGGGTCGTGTACACGCTCCTCACAGTCGAGGGAGTGGACAGTGGGTCATGTACACGCTCCTCACAGCCGAGGGAGTGGACAGTGGGTCGTGTACACGCTCCTCACAGCCGAGGGAGTGGACAGTGGGTCGTCTACATGCTCTCTCAGGCTGAGGGGAGTGGACAGGGGCCGTGTAGACACTCCTCACAAGCCAAGGGAGTGGACACTGTTCTTGGACTCAGGAAGCGGATGTTTCTTGGGAGGCGCAGGGAGGCTGACTCCAGGTACTTGTTCTGGATTCACACTCACACAGCTCCCCCAGCAGCAGGCTCATTCACACCAGGCATCAGGCATGTTGGTGTAGAGGTGCTCATCATAGTCATAGGGCCTAGAGGATACCCAGTGATAACAGTGTATGTCACATCTCTGACACAGGAACTTCTGACACACGGAAGAGCAAATTATGCTTCAAGTAACCAAAATAACACCCCGAAAGCAGAACCCAGGGATAGGCATGTCAGGGGCTACACAGGAAGCTGCCTCTGACTCTGGCTCATGGTCAACCCCAGCTCCTGGGAATATGCCCAGCAAGCAGCAGGAATGGCTGCTCCATCCTGTGCTGCAGACATCATACCAACTAAGGCTCTAGACAGGAAATAGTGAGGGACTTGGTGCTGGCAGAGGGGTTGCTGGTCAGGTGGCCCCCAGGCAGGATGCCTCCGCCTTGGCCCCTGGGTGAGCTTGCTGCAGCCTGGGGGACTCAAGGACTAAGAGGGATGTGGACACTGACTGGACACCAGCCAGATCAGTGAGCAGAAAGCAGGCCAGCTGGGAGCCTCTGACAGTGTGGTTGCTCTTGAAGCACTGAACTCCTTTAGTGCACAAATAGGTGACCTCACGAAACCCTCAGTATCTGCTCATTCTCTGTGTGGGACAGCCAGGGTCAGTCCTGGTCATCCTGGCATGATCTGAATCTTCCCAGCAGCCAGGAGCCCATCAATTCAAGCAGCTCACTTGTGAAGTACTTGCTCAGAGCTTGGGAAGGCCCAAGGCCACTCACGCACCCAGATCCACACACAGCAGAGACAAGGGGCAGATGGGCCTGTGTGACCCACCTCCCACAGCCATATCCACAGTGCCATGGCTGTCGCCAGAGCAGGGAGTGGCAGCATCCTGCTCATCCAAGCCCTCAGAACACCACTCAGCATGTATCTGCCACAACCATCGTGGGACAGACGGAGAGCTCAGGACCCCACAGCCAAGGCAGGGGTCCCAAGAGCTACACCCAAGGGCAGCACCTTTGTCAGCAGAGGGAACGGCTCCTGCTACTGGCACCACCATGCGAGCAAAGGACGAAGGATGGCCAGGGCTGGCTGACTACTGCTTTACCGGCTCTTGAAGCAGATGCATGCCCCTGTGGTTCCTTCCCTGGTCACCCCAAGAAAGGGCTCCCTTATCCACCTTGCCCTGAGCCACAGCGGGCAGATGCTCCAGAAGATAGTGGTGTCTGCCCTGTCCAGCCAGATCCATGGTCGGTCGTGATTTGGACACCACGGTCCCATCTGAGTGAGTAGGTAAATGAACCAATGACTGAGGGTTAAGGCCTGGTCCCCCACACCTACTGTGGGGTCAGTAACATGACAACTACACAGCACGTGACACAGGACACGTGCAGAGACCCAGTCTCATGTCCTTCAGGTCAAACATCTGACACGAGAGCATCCCCTGGGCACCTCTCACATCAGGCTGTGTAGACACTGCCATGCCCCTCACGCATCCAGTGCACCAGGCAGCACAGGCCTTGCTGCTCCCAGCTGAGGTGTGCAGGAGCTCGACCACACACAGTGTACTAGAAGGGGATACAACCATGCGCAAGGCCCAGACAGGCGACAGGGCTGGTTACACCAGCCAGCATCAGGTCTCTCCAAGAAGGCCGTCCACCTGCTCTCGGTGCCCTGAGGAGAAGCCCAGGATGACAGCTGACAGTGGGGCAGCTAGGACAGGATCATGGCTAAGGTGGGTGCAGTCTGTCCTGGCCCTGCCCGATGAGCCTGGTACCCTGGCACGTCACAGGACACATGAGACAACCACAGGCCCACCTACAAAGGCTGAGAGGGGCAGGAAGAACCAGCTGGAACATGGGCCCTGGGACAAAGGCCTGCCCCACGCTGCAGCCCAAGGTTCCTAGGTAACCGCTTGAGGTGGTACAGAGGCTCCTGTACAAAGTGACCAAGCTGCAGGAGGGCCGTCACCCCACATCCCGCTCTCACATAGCAGTGTGCTGGCCAGCAGTACCCTGCTCTGTGTTTGCCCCACCACCACCAGCACTGCAGCCCACTTGGTTGTGCTGACCTCTGCCCTCTCCTGCTCCCTTGCACCGGACAAGGAACCACCCCTTCACAGCCCTGAGACGCTGGTTCACAACTAAGAGCCGCTGCCCCCTCAGTGGCCACAGCCACCCAACTCTCCCCAACCTGACATGGAGTGCTACAGCCTGTACCCTCCAATAACGTAACCACAAGCTGACCTGAGCCTCCCTCCTTGGATACCAACAAGTTCCACAGCAGGCTGGTGCAGTGGGCCAGAGAACACCACATGTGAAAGGCCAGCCGGCTGAGTCCCCCACGAGCCCTTCCACATCCCACACAGGCCACAGTAGCCTACCACATGGGCCCTGGGAGCCCACTTGTTTGTTAGTGTCTGGGGTGTCAGGGAGGGTGGGACCTGGCCCATGCTCAGAAGGAAAGAAGATGGGGACCCCTGGGACATGGCAGCAGTGGCGTGGATTCTCTGGTGTGGCAGGGGTTGCCCCAGGCCTGGAGTTGGGGCCCAGCCTACATGTACACACTTCACCCCCATCTGTGGGGGCTACTGACCCTCTGTGTGAGCCAGGGCCAAGTCACTGGCATGGCACCAGCTTGGGCTGCCCTCATACACCCAGCAGGAGCTCACACTGCAGAGCTGTACTGCTCGCCCAGAGTGGGAAGCACAGACCAAAGCCACCTGCACACACTTGGGCGGGGGGCCCAGTCCTCGCCAAGCTTCAGGGATCCTACCTTGGGGCCTGAGTCCTCCTGACATGGGTCAGCATTGGACACCAGGGGCTGTCCCTCGGCAGAGGCCCATCATACTCCTCAGGCACGGCAGGTCAAGACCTAGAACCCAGGCCCAGAGCTCCTTGGAACTCAGGAGGGTGACACAGGCTCATGCCACAATGGCCAAATGGCTGCAGCTAGACCAAACCAGCCCAGACCCAGGAGCCAGGCACCTCCTCCAGTCCCCCACGTGCTCTCCACTGCCTTCCTCAGTGCATCGGCAGGAAGTTGGCTGGAAGCAGAGCAGCCAGGCCTCCAGCTGGTGATGCAACACGAAATGCTGCAGTGCAACCCACTGCACCACGAGCCAGACAGGAAATTCCTCCTTTTCAAAAACAAAACAAGAGACTGGCATTACGACTAACAGGTTAAGCTGCCACCTTCAGTGCCAGTATCCCATGTGGACAACGGTTTGAGTCCCAGCTGTTCCACTTCCAACTCAACTCCCTGCCTGGGAAGGCCACAGTGGACAGACACTGCAGAGCACCCTGTGGACGGGTGCTAGCCCCAGTCAGATGTGCACTTGCAGGCTCCAGGCCTCACTGACCTGGAATGACAGCTTGGTCAGGGCCTCCTAGGTCCCAGCCCTCACTGAAGCAGGTCCTCCTGTGGCCGCCAGCATGGCTAGCCCTTGGCTTCGGGAGGGGAAGGCCCTGCACGCCCTCTCCCACTTACTATTGCAGGTGGCATGCCTGTGGGGGTGAGGGGAAGGAGGTAGGGAGAAAAGCCTGGCCTGTGCTTCCCCAAGGGGCTCACCAGCCTCCACAGAGTAAAGTCGCAGCTGGAGCCCCAGTCACAAATAAAATAACCAGGAACACGGTCACTGGTTTTCAGGAGAATCAAAAGGCAAGCAGGAGACCCAGGCTGGATCCTAACCCCACTGGGAAGGTAGGTGGGGCCGGCTGTGCTCCCACACACCCCACTCATCACCCTCACCAGGAGGCCACACAATGGGGTGACACAGGCCCCTCTTGGGGCCAGCCAGGCCACCTGTCCTCCCCTAAACCCTGCCAAGCCATCAGGCCTTCCGCTGTGGTGCTGCCTCAGCATGGCTCCTCACGCAGTTCACCCATCTTCAGCTGGATGCATCCAGATGCCCAAAGTTACATCTCCAGCATCTGAGACAGAGATGGCCACCCAGGTACCCCAAACACTCACCTGCAGGAGTCTGATAACCCACCTGGCACCTGGTCCTGCCAGAGCCATGCCCCCCACGCAGCTGAGCTATCCGTCCCCACACCTCACGTCACACCCAAGGGCCCTCAGAGAGGAAAGAGAGCAGGCTCCACCTGCTGCCCACGGCCCTGCGCCTGGGCCTGGGAGGGGGACAGTGGCTCAGAAAGTGAGGCCCTTGTCAGAAAGTGACAGCAGCCACACACCTGCTGTCAGGACAGGACACTGCTCACGAGGGCCAGCACGGAGTGGGCTCACCCACATGCTGGGACATCTCCAACAGTTCTCACCTGATAGAATTCCCGAAGCCAGTTCTTCTGCAGGTTTTCTGGCTGTGAATTAAGAAGAGGAGAGACGGTCAGACCACTGCCTAGGCTTGAGCAACCAATGTCCCCGAGAAGCCCCTGGGGTCCCACTCCTACACACTGGGGCTCTGGCCTCCCACCTTCCCTCCCTCTGCCTGAACAGCAGGGTCGGCACCCCACACATCTGACACCCAGGAGACCCAACCCCCACAAAACAGGGCCACCTGTGATGAGCGGACCCTGCCAGTTGGAGCAACGTGAGGCTGGGCCACCATGGACTCCTCGACATCCCATCTACCCCGCCCACAAATGTCTACAGCAGCCACGGGCGGAAACTGGCCCAATGCCCATCTGAGGAACCAGTGGACATAGCATACATGTGTGCAGGGCTTGCCTCTGCTGTCCACCCCCCACCCCACCCACCAGACTGTGTCCACACCCTGACTGTGTCGGGGGAGGAGGCAGGAGCAGTCCGGGCACTTGGGTCAGGAGACAGCCCTTGGCTGAGGCGCACACCAGGACCTGGGTGGCCCTGCTCTGGAGAATTCGGGCAGTCCTGTCAGCTTCCTGGAGTCCTAATCAGCATCACCTCCAGCATCATCCAGTCCCCTCCCCGAACATGCTGCAGCAAGAGCCTCATCACAGCCACAAAGGCCAGGGACAGTGCAGCCCATGGCAAGTGTCCCAAAGTCAATGGCAAACCCCACTGACCAGAG